TTGTTTACGATGTGCCTGCGCTGCATAACAGTGGTGCATAAACAAAGGCAAAGAAATTTATTAAAATTGCGTTAGACTGAATATCTTGATAAAACTCAATAGTTTTTTAATAAGTATGCTGGAACACCATAAATGGATGATATAAACAGATAACCGACAAGCGAGATTCGATCCTTAGAAGGATGTACGTAAATTTAGCACAAAAAAAAAAAACTCGTATCAGACGATTTCTATATTTTAATGTCCGAAAGAAAAGCTATGAAATGGCTAGAAGAGTTAGAAATATGATGAAAGGCTGGAAACACTGAAGATTCTTCCGCTGGGTGATAACAGGAAGAGAAGACACGATGACCACACACAAGGTCACTGAAGGACACAAAAGAATTGATCAAGATTTGACTGTACCTGTTCCTGCAACAAGGATAACATGAGGTCACAACTGTACCTGCAACAAGGATAACATGAGGTCACAGTTTTACCGGCAACAAGGATAACAAGAGGTCACCGTTATACCTGCAACAAGGATAACAAGAGGTCACAGTTATACATGCAACAAGGATAACAAGAGGTCACAGTTGTACCGGCAACAAGGATAGCAAGGGTCACAGTTATACCTGCAACAAGGATAACATGAGGTCACAGTTGCACCTGCAACAAGGATAACAAGACGTTATCGTTGAGCAGTGGAATGATTGAAATGAGGAGGTAGTAAGCTCTTCAATCATTGCTAACTTAAAAAACTACATAGCATAACCCTGGTGGGCTTGCTACAAGTAGGTAATCACACACACACACACACGGGGAAAAAAAAACACTGGTCTCCTTATATAAAATTCTGGAGAGACAAGAGGACTGATTGACAGAAGGCAAAGTAACAGTAAGGAATAAGGGATCAGAATGCGTGTATGGTGAGTGGGGTTCTGCAAGGATGAGTTCTAGTACCTCTACTGTTTCTAATATACGTGAACGATCTGCCAGAGGGACGAATACTGTCATTATTTGTGGATTGTATAAAACTAGTACGAGGAGGAGAGAACACGGGTAAACGCCAGGGAAATGTTAATAGACTACGGATGTGTTCAAAAAAGTGTCTTCTCGAGTTCAACCTGAACAAATGCAAGGTCAAGCAAATTGAAGGTGAGGTCAGACAGGATACAGAGCACAATATGAGCAGAGAGAAGCCGCAAATATCAGAGTGAAAGGGACCTGGTAGTGAATGTAATACTAATCACGTCACCAGAAACACGTCAGCGACATTTACAAAATTAGCAAACATCAGAATAACATTCAGGAACCTTAATAATCCTTCCGAACCTTGTACATTATACGACATACTATGTCAGGCCAGTCACTGAGTACTCAGACCAGCATGGAGTCCACACTTGGTCAAGCACGTGAAGAAGCACTGTGAGAATAGATAAATGATTCAGAGAACCGAGAAATTGATAAATTAGACACATGTGCAACACTTGGGTATCTTTATTGTGGAAACGTTTCACCACACAGTGGCCTAATCAGTCCAATACAAAGAAAAATGGTGAAGCACAGGAGTCTGAGGTAACAGCCTAGAGATGAAATAATCAGTCCATCAGTCTTGATAAGAACACAGGAGATGCTCGAAGAAGGGGCTTATATACCGCAAACAGGTGAGGTGATGCAGTCCTAGGCGATCTGATCTTCACCAGTCTTCTTTGTATTGGATTGATGAAGCCACTGTGTGGCGTAACGTCTCCATAATATAGATACCCAAGTGTTGCACATGTGTCTATTACTATGAGGAGAGGTTGAAGAGTTGAAGCTGACGAGCTTCGCAGAGAGGATAAGAGAAGACACGATTACGACATACAAAATCTTAAAGGGGAATTGATAAGATAGATAAGGACAGACTGAGTTAAGACCAGGATCAAGGGGACACACGTGAAAGCTAATAACACAGATGAACCACAGTGATGTCAGGTAGTATTTCTTTAGTTTGAGGATGGCTGAAAAGTGGAATGACTTGGATGAGGCAGTGGTGGAGACAAACTGAATACACAGCTTCAAGAGCAGATACGACAAGGCCCAAGAGGCAAGAAGTCAGTGGTGGCGGTCAAGGAATACGAGTGAGTACACAAGAGACGCACACACACGTACCCACCCCAGCACTCACCTGTGCCGCAGGCAATATACTGGGAAAAGTGTTTTTGCATCACAAACAAGATTTCTGTTTGAGCGTTGAGTGTGAGGGGGTGGCAGCCAGGGTGGTTGCCAGGGTGGTAGCCAGGGTGGTAGCCAGGGTTGTAGCCAGGGTGGCAGCAGGGTGACAGGCAGGGTAGTAGGTAGGGTGGTAACCAGGGTAGGAGGCAGGGTGGCAGGCATGGTAGCAGGTAGGGTGGCAGGCAGAGTAGCAGCCAGGGTGGCAGGCAGGGTAGGAGGCAGGGTGGCAGGCAGGGTAGCAGCCTAGGCAGCAGGCAGTACAACAGGCAGGGTAGCAGCCTGGGAAGCAGGCAGGGTAGCGGGTAGGGTGGCAGGCAGGGTAGCGGGTAGGGTGGCAGGCAGGGTAGCGGGTAGGGTGGCAGGCAGGGTAGCAGCCTAGACAGCAGACAGGGCAGCAGGCAGGGTAGCAGCCTGGGCAGCAGGCAGGGTGGCAGGCAGGGTGGCAGGCAGGATGGCAGGCATCTGGGTCCATGAATGCCATCACTCATCTTATCTCCACATGTCTCACTGCATCTCACTACCTTAACTTGAATCTTAAATTCTTGAAACTTTAATAACAACAAAATCAGAGAAGTCAAGTGGGAGGAGGAATGTCACTCGACACTTAACACTTGTGTCAAACACCATATAACAACACATATATCCACATATTGCAACATACACACATACTACAACATACATATCAACGGGTGAAACCTCACTAACAGCCAACAGAAGTCAACAACAGTTGCAGGAGTAACATAAACAAGTGCGACGTTTTCCTCTAGACGACATGTTTACTAAGAGTTCCCGCCCTCCCGAGAGTCACTTTCAGAGCCCCGGGGAGCCAGCAATCTAGTCCTTATGTTCAACTTACTCAAGAACCAGAGTTCTCCCTCAGCAAGCGCAACATACAACACTTGTCTCTATGTACTAGAGACGGAAGAACCAGAATTCTTCACCTTCCAGACCGGGACTTCCCGGCGAAGTTGCCAGTTAATATTATTTTTCATTAACAATCTTCCTTTTTATTAAATTCATTCTCAACTTTGTAAGTGCTATAACCGTGGATAATTTAGTCTACTACGTGACGAATAATGAAAACATGGATAACAAATCAAGTAAAACGTGAAATTAACCATATAAAGCAGGCGGGAGAGTTGCCAAGCGTCGCTGGACACTTCAACACACATACCATTCATTGTTGCCGGTAAATTTCTGGTTATCACATTTCTTAAAAAAAAAAAATAAATGGACCCATTTCCCTTATGCGAAGTTTCACTTTAATTAAAAGGCTCTAGAAGTGACTAAGTGCCTACCACACACATTCGTTTATGACCAGAACGTCGTAAATAACAATAAATTTATTGTCATAGGAAATATTTTTTTTTAATTGCGAATCCTAACCACTGATAAATAAACACATCGGTTAAGAGGCGTTGTTTATATAGTGTTTATGTAGTGTTTATATAAATCAAACAAGTAGTGTTTCACTCTGTGTGATGGTGGGAAACCCTCGGCCAGGAGGTGACGGGACGGGCTCTTGATTCAAGGAACTGGAGGGCTCCTCCAGAGCCTGGGATCAAACTTGATAATCTTCAACCCCTTTGTGGGTTTATCGCTTGGTCTAGATTGTAATAATAATAACCACTACTACCACTATTACTACCACTACTACTACTACTACCACCACTACTACTACTACTGCCACTACGTCTACTACTACCACTACAACTACTACTACCACGACTACTACTACTACTACTACTACCACCACTACCACTACCACTACAACCACCACTACAACCACCGCTACCATCAAACAAACATCAACAAACACCAACAAACACACACGAACAAGTATACACCAACAAACACACAACAAACACACACGAACAAACACACACACCATCAAACACACGCTAACAAGCACACCAACAAACACACATTAACAAACCACAAACCAAAAGCACACACTAAACAAACACACACCAACAAACACACTAACAACACACATACCAACAAACGCACACACAACAAACACACATTAACAAGCACAAACCAAAAGCACACACTAACAAAACACACACCAACAAACACACCAACAAACACACAAACAAACACAACACCAACAAACACACACCTACAAACACACATTAACAAACACAAACCAAAAGCCACACACTAACAAACACACACACCATCAAACACACGCTAACAAACACACCAACAAACACACATTAACAAACGCAAACCAAAAGCACACACTAACAAACACACACCAACAAACGCACTAACAAACACACACCAACAAACGCACACCAACAAACACACATTAACAAACACACAAACCAAAAGCACACACTAACAAACACACACCAACAAACACACACCAACAAACACACTAACAAACACACACCAACAAACACACACCAACAAATACACATTAACAAACACAAACCAAAAGCACACATTAACAAACACACCAACAAACACACTAACAAACCACACACTAACAAACACACCAACAAACACACTAACAAACACACTAACAAACACACACCAACAAACACACACCAAGAAACACACTAACAAACACACACACCAACAAACACACAAACCTCAGCAACACACCAACGCACATCAACGTATTTCCCAGAAGCGATCAGAAACGTTTGCTGTCGTAGTGACGTCAGAGGAGCCGGGACGAGACCTGGGGAAGGGGAGGCAACAAGAGGAGGTAAGGGGGAGGCGACGAGGGGAAGGGGGTAATCCTCTTTCAGGGGGATGGGCGGAGTGCTGGCTGGTGGGGCAGTATATAACAA